CAAGTATCACTTTGAGGTACTTTAAACAACACTGCACACACACACACACACACACACACACACAGAGAACAGGAGAAATTTAATGCAGTTTAATAGTTTCTCAGGTCTCACAAACACAAGAATTTTTAAAAAAGAAATCAGGACGAGATGAAATTTAACCCACTTTCCCACGTCTGAGTGACTCCGCCCCCTCCACAGGTGATTTCTGCCCCACTTYCTGTCTGCCTGCAGCTCAGAGGCGTTTGGTGCATCAGTAACCTGCAGCTGGAAACACGTCGCTGCAGAGCTGCACTTCAGCCTCATTAAGAGCCGGACTCAGACAGATCTGGGTCTGAGAGCTTCCAGGTCTGAGCAGCTCCATGGAGAAACCTCAGCTCAGCAACACGGGGCAGGCTGGGGTGTGTGTGTGTGTGTGTGTGTGTGGGGGGTGGTACTGGGGTACGGAGGGACAGGAATAGCTACCTGAACTAAAAACAAAGTGAAGCTGAAGAACGACAGGTACACAGCAGCCAGGTGCTGCAGAGACCTGAAACGAGGACAAGAATCAGGAACACTTCTGTCTCACGCTCAAACATCCATCTGGTTTCCTCCTAAAGTCCCAACAAGAATCTGGGACTTTCTCTGGAACCAAAGTTCTAAACTGATCCTGGTTCTGGTTCTGTTCGGGTCCAACCTGAAGGAGAACTCAAACAGCTCTGACTCGATCGCTTCACTGAATTATTCATTTATTTTTGTGGGTTTTCCAAAGCTGCAGCAGAAGAAATGAAACAAATTCATCAAAACTGACTAAAAATAATAAAAAAGCACAAATAAATCTGTTTTTTTTTACAGATTTATTTATAAAATGAGAACAGAAAGAAACTGGTTTTATTATTTTACATCCTAAATGTTCTGCAGAGGAAACATCAGAGCTGCTGCAGGTGTCCTCAGAGGACAGAGGACACCTGGAGACATGGATCAAAGGAAAGMTGGACGCCACTGGTTCCACTTAAACAGACAATAAATTTATTTTAATTATAAACCCTGAAAAACACGTCCCTGCTGGACAGGAGGACATCAGCTGGACGACTAATGGTTGGTATTTAAAGACAGGTTTCTGGTCCGTCCACTTTCATTACTTTGTCAGATCATCTGAAAACACTCAGGATGTAAAGTTCTGCTGATCCATCGGATGGTCCTGGTCCTGGTCCTGCTGGATCCTTTAGTCTCATAAAACTGAGACAACTGTCCTGCTTGACTCTGATGGACTGAGAGGACTGTGTCTCTGAGGGGACTCTGTAGGACGTTAGACGGGCTGTTGCTAATTCTGGACCCAGGAGGTCTTCAGACCAGGACAAGATCCTGATGGAACTGGTCTCAGTTTTTTTTGTCTAAATGAGAAACAAAAAGATGTTTTCAATCAGAATAAATGTGTATTTTTCTAAAACAAAGTTTTAAAAAGTGAATTTTATTTCCTCGTCTTCCTCACCCTGTCTTCAGGTCTCCCTCTCTGAGGACACGTCCCCCTCGGCCCCGCTGCTGGTGTYGGGGTCCTCTTTGGACCGCGGGCCCCACTTGTCCCTGCCGGACTCTGAGGGTCCTTTAGAGCGCGTCTTCTCTTTCCTCTGCTGCTGCTTCTCCTGCTTCGACAGCTAAGACAGCCGAAACAAGAAACAGCTGAAGTTCGGCTGATTTTAACCTCCCTCGTGTCCAACACAGAGAGGACACACTGAGTTTAGGTTCTTATTTCTGGTACCTGTTTTGGTTCTAGTTCCTGTTTTGGGTCGGTGGTTCTAGTTCCTGTTTCTGTTCTAGTTCCTATTTTGGGTCAATGGTTCTAGTACCTGTCTTGGTTCTGGTACCTGTTTTGGGTCGGTGGTTCTGGTACCTGTTTTGGGTCAGTGGTTCTGGTACCTGTTTCTGTTCTAGTTCCTATTTTGGGTCAATGGTTCTAGTACCTGTCTTGGTTCTGGTACCTGTTTCGGGTCGGTGGTTCTGGGGGGTGAGGTCAGCTCGATGGTGACCGGTCCATCGTTCTGAATGTGGACCTGCATTAAGGCTCCAAACTCTCCATCTGAAAACATAAACAAGAGAAACAGAACCAGAACCAGAACCTTGAGGTAAAGATAATAAAGGGCCTGTGGTTCTGATGGATCCAAAAGTTTTTAGATATTTAGATGTTTTTAATCTGAAGCTTTCAGAATCTCAGAACTAAAAGCTGCAGAAGGTCTGGAGGGTCCAGATTAAAGGTTCTGTTTTCTTCCAGCCGGACCTTCAGAACCACGGAGCTTTGGGTCGAACTGAAAACTTGCTGAGTCATGGTTTCGTCTTCAGAGGAGGAGGGACTAATGAAGGAGCTTTACGCTCCCTCAGCCAGGACGAGGTGTTCTCCACACCTGCTCCCCTGTGGGCCGACCCAGTTCTCCGGTACCACGTCACCAACCCCCCCCCACACTGCTCCCTGTGACCCCTCCTCCCTAAGAGGAGGAGGAGGAGGAGGAGGAGGAGGAGGAAGGCTCCAAACTTATCCCCACTTTTTATTTTCATCAGCTGAAAGGTTCTGGTTCTTCTCTGCAGCTTCATGCGGATCAGAACCTGCCTTTTGTTAACCATTGCCTTTAGCTTTTAGCTAGCCTTTTGCTACTTTGAAGCTTCTGTCCAACCTTTCAGTCTACAGAAACCTACAGACAATATGTTGTTACTTTTAACTTTTATTTTTCTTTTGTAGCTTTTAGCTAGCCTTTCAATAATTTAAATTTAAATTTGTATTTTGCTACAGCTACCTTTTAACATTTAGACAGCCTTTCGTCACTTTTAGCTTCTAGTTATCCTTTTGTTAACTTGTGCTTTTAGCAAGCATTTAGCTACTTTTGGAGTTTAGTAGGTTTTTTGATCCTTTCAGCTTACAATCCTCACCAACATATAGCTAATGTTGCGCTACTTTGAGCTTTTTTAGCTTTTACTACTTTTAAAATACATTTTGCTACAATTACCTTTTAGCTACTATTGTTCTACTTCAAGAATTTATACAGCCTTATGACCCCCTAGTGTCTAACTAAGCTTTTAATACTTTTAGCTAGCCTTTTTATAACTTGTGCTTTCAGGAAGCTTTCAGCTACTTATAGCTTTTAGGAAGCTTTTTGTTGTTTTAAACCTACATCTAGGGTTTTGATACTTTCAGTTTTAAACTAGCACTTTGATACAATGTACCTTTTAGCAATCAATGCTGTACCTTTAGCATTTATAGTATTTTAGCTTCTAGTTAAGATTTTGTTAATTTGTACTTTGAGTAAGCATTTAGCTACTTTATGCTTTTAGTAAGCCTTTTGCTATTTTTAGCTTCTACCTAACCTTTTAATTTACACAAACATATAGTTAATTAGCAACTCTATCTTTAGCAACTCAGTTTTAGCTTCTTCAGCAAATGTGAACAAAATCAATCAGCTCTTCAACAAACTGAATTCACATTTTCACAGAAGAAACCTTAGTCTAGTTTCACTGTGTGGTTGTTTCTGTTTGTTTTGTTTGTTTGTTTGTTTGTTTGTAGCAGTGCTAGCGAGGCCCGTTAAGAGCTTGGACCTCCTGCTCACCTTTAATCCTGTCAGGTCTGTAGGCGCTCCTCAGGTTCTCCAGGATGCTGCTGTAGAAGTTCTGGGCCGGCCCGGCGGGCATGGCAGCGTGGAAGTCGGGTTTGTTGCCCTTCAGGATGCACTGCAGTGTGAACTGACTCACACACAGAACCTCCAGCTCTCGCTCCATCACGCTCCTACTCCACGCCCGGCCGCTCTCGTCCTCAAACAGCCGCAGGTTCAGGATCTTCCTCACCCTGAAACCAGGACCAGGACCAAGACAGGGGTTAGGTTTTGGTGAAAACAGACCAAGAACTTTTTGGGAACCTAAAGCTAATTTTCTAAAACTTTTGTCAATTCTTTTTACTCCCTCTCATTTTACAGCTCTTTTCTACACAATTGTTTGTATTTTTGTCCTTTTATCTGTCACATACCTCCAGAGGTCAGAGGTCAAACACATCTGGAGTGACATAAAACAAAACGACTGTGGGTCAGAACCACCTACATGTACTCAGCATCTTTCTGTGTGTCCTCCACTGAAATCCCGAGCAGCACGCAGAGTCCACGTTCGATGGAGCTCACCTGTTCTCCTCCCACTGCAGGAAAAAAACACACACACACACACACACACACACACACACACACACACACACACA